GGTGAAAACAAGTTCTTTAAGCATAGGCAAAACATATGCTTATTTAGCAAATACACCTTTCTCAATATTTTAATGTAATGTAATGAATGAGTTTTAATGAATCATGCCTCAAGGGGTGATATTTTTATATATTTATATTTTTTATGATATATGCCATCTAAAAAAAGATCTTCAGAGTCCATTTGGCTGGCTGTGGCCAGAGACCCAAAGCCCACCCTCAAACTCTGCAATTCACTGGAAGGACTCACAGGACTCAGGTGCTCATGGTTTATAACAGCAAGGGAATATAGTCAGGATCTCCGAGGCAAAAGGTACATGGAGTAAAGTGTGAAAGAAACCAGGCCCGAGATTCCAAGTGTCCCCTCCCAGTGGAATCACGTGGGGAGCACTTCATTCTCCCAGAAATGATATGTGAAAACAAAAGTTGCAAACCATAGTATCTCTCCTGAGCTTGGATACAGAGCTGCATGGCAATTCAGGCACACGGGCACAGCAATGGGACACACAGCAGCCCAAGCTGTCAGCCTCCCACCCCGGGGACACAAGAATGCAGCAGACCAAGTAGCAGCTAGATAGAAACACTCAATGATAACTCAGAGTCACCTTCCAAGAACCAGTAGAAGGCCTCATCCTCCCGCAGGGCCTTCCTCTGAAACATGCAGGGTTTGAACACCCCAGGTCTGTGACTTAACCCTTCACCGCGGGAGATGATGTGTGTGACTTATCTCCTATTAGTATCATGAGAATTAACAAGACAGAGGCCTTAAACTATGAGGACATATATAAGTGCTAAATAATCATACCTGATTTTGAAATGGAAAACTTAGAATTTATAATATTCTCTCAAGTGATAATCAACTTAGGAAAAAAAACAAAGAAATAACTCCTTAAGGAGGTAGATTTGAATTATTTGCACAGTTCACACAGAAATTGTCAGGGTCAGTTTAAGATGGGGGCTATTTTTATCATGGTGCTGCTGGACATTTTATCAGGAAAACGATTGGGGCTGGGTCTTCCCACGTTTCCCAGTAGATGCAGTACAGAAAGAAGATCAGTCACTAACATGGCCAAGTCTCCATTTTAAGTCTTAAAAAAAAAAAAA